CTATTAAAATTAAATAATTATCCATGATTTACATTGTAACTTGCCTTAGGTGAGAAGGTGAGAGAGAGTTAAGGTTTGGAGGGGTAAGAGGAATCCTCACCTTGTCAGTTTTGCTTTGAAGTCAGCCCAGCCATCAGAGTGCAGACCTGAGAGAGTTCTGCTCTGGATGGTCCCAGCTCTCTCGCGCTTGGGAGCTAGAGTTCAGGTGTGGCTTCACAAGCTTAGAAGTTGAGTGCTGTCTTCTAAAATAACCAGTGAAGTGTCTAGGAAAGGTGCCTGGGCCTAACAGTAACATTTCAGTTGGCTAGAACCCTGGCTTGTTGAATTGGCACAAATGGATTTATTTATTGGACATAGACTGGCTTTGCCATGGGCCCTGTCTGTATTCCAAGTGGTGACACCATTAGGCAGCCTTTGTGGGGTGAGAAGTAGTGCCACAGGAGCTAGGCAAGCTGGAAGTGCATTTATTGCCTGCCTAAGCCTTACCAAAGTTTGCCTAAGGTGTCTGGCCTCTCTCCCTCTCCCTCTCCCTCTCCCTCTCTCCCTCTTTCCCTCTCTCCCTGTCTCTCTCTCTCTCTCCCCCTCTCTCTCCCTCTCTCTCTCAATGAGGTTGCAGTTCTTCTGGAGGAAATTTGCCTTTACCCCTTACCCTTCTATTATGCAGCGAAGAGAGGAGGATTTAGCTATCAAAAATGGGGTATGAGCTCACAGATGAACTTTTTTCCTTCTTTTTTCGATCCATATTTACTGAAATGTGTTTTAGGGTTATAAACTATTACTTCTGTCTCATGTTCTTCCTGACCACTTGCTTTAAATTTATATTATAGCTATTGACATTTTAATAAAATCTCATGAATACATTTGAAGATTTTGCATTAACTTCTTAACACAATTTACTCAGTTCTTCTTGGTGCATCACCTAAATTATATATCTGTACTAGAGGCCCGGTGCACAAAATTCGTGCACTTGGAGGGGTGGTTCTTCAGCCCAGCCTGAGCCCTCTTGCAGACCAGGAGCCTTTGGGGGATGTCCGATTGCCACCGAGGCGGGAGAGGCTCCCATCACCACTGCTGTGAGCCCAGCTCAGGGCTTCTGGCTGAGTGGCGCTCCCCCTGTGGTGTGCACTGACCACCAGTAAGGGGCAGCTCCTGCATTGAGCATCTGCCCCCTGGTGGTCATAGCTACTGGTCGTTCTGCTGTTTGGTCAATTTGCATATTAGCCTTTTATTATATAGAATTTTTACCTATGAAGTATCGACCTTCAGCATCAAAGGATTAAATATATCATTAATACAGGTAGTAGTTATCTATCTAATAAATGCTCCTGCACTTGACTGGCTTGATTCAGTTCAATGTACTTATCACATAATTCATTTAAAACTCATTCAGACACTTTTTAATAACCATATGCAAAAACTGAACTGTATCTTCAAAAATAAGGTTGCATAGTACATTCACATAATGAGAATTATGCAGCAATGAAATTATTTATAAAAACTTTATAATGGCTTAAGATATATAAACTGTACATGTGTTACTCTCTCACCAAATATTAAAAAATATTTACATGTGTGAAGAAAGATACAGGAAAAAAAGACAGAAAATAAGTAAACCAAATGTGAATAGTGAGTGGTTCTGTCTGGATGAGAAGATTATGAGTTATTACATTTTTATTCTTCATACTTTTCTGTTGTTGTATGCAGTTTTTTAAAGCCATAGACTGGGTACCACTTCTATAATGAAAAATAAATCCAATAAGGATCAGGAATCAAACTATGACCTCCTGGTTCACAGGTCGACGTTCAACCACTGAGCCACACTGGCCGGACAGATCAGTGTTTCTTAAACTGGGTAATGCTGGTGCTAACTCATAGGTTTGCTGCAACTGTTTGGAAAACAGTAATTCAGAGTTTTACAAAATTGATGGTAGCAGTTATGAAAATCCTGAAGCATTTTAGTTCTGTATCTTGTGAAATTATTTTATTTTTTAAAATAAACCTTTTATTTTAACATACATCCACAAAAGTACACAAATCTTAAGTTACAACTTATAAGTTTTCAACATACCTTCATAACCACATCACTTTGTATATTTTTTTTGTTTTGTGCTGCTATGTCTTTGACAAAATTTTATTTATTTATTTTTCTATCCCCTTATGCTGCTTTATTTTTTTCTCAAAGCATTTATCATTACATTTTATTAAAAATGCATTTGTCAACTTTTTTGTTTGTTTTGTTTTTTACAAATTTTTATTGATTTTTTTTTTTTGCCCACCTCCCTCCCTCCCACACATCCCCTCCCTCCCCAGAGTTTTATGTCCATTGGTTGTTCATAGTACTACTTTTAAAAATACATTGTTGGTTAGTGTTCTGTGGTTTCCATAAATTACATTCTAGGTGTTCTGCACTTTTTGCTCTCATAACTTTATTAACTCCTTGAGTTTTTACATTTTTCAAGGAGCTCTAAAATTTCATTCAGAATATTGCTATTCTTAGTTCATGGCAAAAAAATTTGGCTTTTATCAATTAAAAATGAAAAAAAGTTAATAAGTGCAAATTATTGACATCTAGCCTGTGCAGATTTAATTTTTCTTTCATTCCCAGTGTGGCACACGTTTCCCCAGTTGGCTGGTTGTGTGGAACTTGATTCCTGTGCCTCTGCCCATGATACAGCTCAGGTTGCTAATCTGAAGAAGCAGATGAGCAGCCAGCAGAAAGTGTGTCAGGCCTAGAAATGCTAGACCAGCTGGGAGGAACTTTACAGACGTTAGCTTCAGGTGGGGAAACTGAGGCCTGGAAGGTTACATGCTTCCTCCAGGGTCACAGAGTTGGCACCAGAACTGAGTCTAGAACCCCATTACTAAACCATGCTAAGTCCCTATTCTCATCTTAAAATTCACCCTTTCTACTGAAAATGCAACCCTCAGACTGCGAAATCAACTTCTGAAGAAAGATAAATTACCTACCACGTTTTCCAGCCAAACTTCTTAATGGAGATAACTTGACAGCATTGATCTATTTTGGAAAGTATCCCTTGGGTTATTTCAGGCAAATGAGGGATGGTGTGGGATGGTATAAATGCCCGTCAGTAATTGTTTAGAGCAGTTCCGGGAGGCCATTCAACTGGAATAACCCTGGCAATAGGGAAAGTGTGGCGTGATGTTGACTTGTGACCCTTCCCTGGGGAGCAGCGGTGTCAGGAGACCTGACGGAGCTTCTAGAACACAAAGTCCCCAGTCTGTGCTCCCCGTCACTGGGCAGGTAGACTGACTACTGTGCCTTCATCAGTGTTATATTCCTTATTGTTTTTGAGATTTTGTTTCAAATGGCGAAAGGTAGTTAAGTAAATAAGGCTGCTCTTTAGTTTGCTAAGAGAGGCCAGGGAATATATTTAGTAAGTACTAATAACTGTGGGGGGCCCTGGGGATTTAGTCTTAATAAAACGTGTCTGTCAGGACTTAGTCTGTGGAGCTGGCAATCCCAAGGAGAGATCACCATCGATTTCCAGAAATCCTTGGTGCTGTTGGCATGTTGTTTAGGGCATTGCACAAATCTCATCAGAGCACACTGACTTCTGCCTTCCTATAAGTTTGTGGAGAAAAGTGTCTTCTGCGTCTCACATGGCAGCCATTGTTGGTCTAACCTCTAGTGCCACTCGCCAAAGTTCCATCCAGCAGACCCGTTCTATCCTTTCTCACTCTGTTCCCGGAGGACAGGCCTTTTTCAGTCTCTGCCCCTCAAATATCTATGGCTGCTTCTGCCTTTAGCTTTTGGACATGTTTTCTCCCTTATTTAGAATGCCCCTTCTTCCCCTTTGTTTCTCCAAATCCTGCCCAACCGTTAAGACCCAACTCAGTTCCCATCTTTTTTCCCATGTGACATTCTACCCATACCATGCTATGGATGATATAACTATAATTCAGCCTACTGGTGAAAGTGGACTCTGGAGCTAGCCTGTCTGTGTTACCTTGGCCAGAAGCTTTTCTGAATCTAGATTCCTTAATCTTTAAAAATGAGAATAGTAATTGCACTTAGCCATAAGTTGTGTAGAATGAATGAGTTCATAGTATTAAAATCCATAGAACAATGCCTGGTACATAAGTTCTCATTAAATATTAGTTATTATTCCTTCTAGCATGTATGTAATCATGGCCTTCCTTGTGGTGTTTAACAGTTTTAAGTATTTATTGGCCCCTAGTGAAATTGTAAAGTCCTCTCATGAAGAAAGTGGCTTGATTTTATATTTTTTGTTGACCTTTTCTAGCCATACACGTGCATACAATCGTTCCCCAATACGTGAAACTAATGCTGTATTAAGTAAAGAAAATAGGTGGAACAGAAGTAAGGAATTGAAGAGAAAATATAGGCTTCAGTTCACAGATGGTGTTTTCTTATGATTCTTAGAGCATGCAATTTGTTCTTTTTGTCTTTCTTTGTCATGAGTCTAATGAGCTCTTCTGTCACACTCACCAGAGTATGAAGGTAATTTAGCAAGGATGCTAGAAATTTCAGGAGGTTGTTTCAGACACTGTTTTCTTCTAGGCTTGTGCTGGGATGGAATCTCAGACAGTAGATTCTGATCTATCTGAATATCTCAAAGCAGGTGGGTCCTGAGCTGGGGGTTACTAACATACCTCCCTTGCCGAAGGGCATGGGCAATTCACCAGTAGGGAGGGGACCTTACCCTTCAGCCACCCTCTCTCTGCCTTTCCCTCCTCCTCTATTAGCAGCTTAGATGCTCACAAACACCATCTTTACCTGTCAGTGTTCACAGACATTTGGGGGATATCAGAGGTTACCTTCAGGTGGGAAGAGGTGTGGACCCAAGCAGAAGCTTTCAATAAAGAGCCAATTGCAGATAGGAGTTATGGTGATGGCAGGAACTGCCAGAGGGGTCCTCCGCTATTCACCCAGCTGTCTGGGGCTTTAGCCAGGGTCTCCACAGAACCCCGTGGGTGCCCTCTCTGTGATGAAAATGCTGTGTTTCTTCTTCTCCTAGGCTGGAACAAGACATTAAAAAATTAAAGGCTGACCTGCAGGCCAGCAGGCAAGTGGAACAAGAGCTCCGCAGTCAGATCAGCTCCCTCTCTAGCACCGAGCGAGGGATCCGCTCAGAAATGGGCCAGCTCCGGCAGGAGAATGAACTGCTGCAGAACAAGTACGTGCACCTATCGGCCTTTTATGAGCAACGTGGCCTCACTGCTTCTTTTGTTTCCAGGGATTGGAGTACAAGATTCATGATGACAAAGGGACCAAGCAGAGAGGTTTTCAAATAAATGTATAAAATGTTTAATTTAATACCAGATATCCAACATGTTATAAAATCTGTAAGAACCTATTTTATTTCAACAAAAGCTTATTAATATTGCTATTTTGTCTTCTCTCATTTAATGACTTCTCTTAATTTAAAATAGTTATTAAGCTTTTATGATAATATACGGAAAGTTGACAAGTATTTCTGCCACAATTGGAAGCTCTTGCTCCTTTGAGTGAAAGGTTCCAGACATTGAACTCTATTTACTTTGATTTCCAAAACTAAATTACATTGAACTTTAATTTTACTTGAAGAGGCAGGCAAAAAGCCAGCTCTTCTATGTGAATTATTATGCTTTCTATTAATTCATTCTGGAATTATTTCTTGACTCAATATGGGTCTGTCCTTTTTTTTTTTTTTTTTTTTAATTTCTTCACACTGTGTGTCTGCAGTAGGCTTTGGATTTTCTGGACTTGCCCCATCAAAAGAGTAGTTCTTCAACATTTTTAAGGAATGCAACTCAAAAGTACAAGCATTATAGGCAAATAACCTCTCCACTGTTTTTGACCCACATATGTGGTGGCTATAGCATTGAAACATAGAGAACATCTCACCCTTATTGATATATTTAGATAAACTGACCTTATATTGTTATGTTAAGCTGGGGGTGGTTGTAGGCAGGGAAGGGATTATGGCTGAAATTTCCATCTGAAATGAAGCATCCTATGACCCTACAAGATCTAGTTTGGGATAATCTAGAAAAACCATCACACAGCTGGAAAGGAAAGTCAGCACCATAATTATCTTCAGGCGAAGGAAGACATTCCCCCCTCACCCTTTACCTCAGTTTCATTGGGGCTGGTTCCATCAGCTGTGCCTTGGTCAGACTGAAGTTCTTCCGATGTGCCTTGGGGCACTTGAATTAGTTTAGCTGTTATATTTCCCTTTGATAGAAACTTGTTTTACCCTATTCTCTGAATGACCTTCTGTAGATAGAGCAGAAGCTAGGTCTGTATCTTGTATGGCAGCTTGCTTATTGAGATTTAGAAATTGTTAAATAATTATGACAGTGTGTTCTATCTGGGCATTCTGAGAGTTGACATTTATGGTTGCTGTTCAAACCTCTTTTTTTACTTTGGCCTTAAAATGACAAAGAGGAACCATGTATTTCCAAGGTTCATAGTGGGTATTGTAATTGTAAAACTCTGTGTGATAATCATTTCCATTTAGGTTACATAATGCTGTGCAAGTGAAGCAAAAAGACAAGCAGAATATCAGCCAGTTGGAAAAAAAGCTAAAAGCTGAGCAGGAAGCCCGAAGCTTTGTAGAAAAGCAGTTAATGGAAGAGAAAAAGAGGAAGAAGTTAGAAGAAGCTACTGCTGCCCGGGCTGTTGCATTCGCTGCTGCGTCTAGGTATGTCCAAATCACCTGAATGCTTAATCTGTGGTTGGCTTTCCTGGTACTGAGACAGCCATGGGAATTTGATGCCTCGGGCAGGATTAGAAATACAATAGTCATGCATGAATGGATTGCTTTTAATTATGGTTTTATTAGCTGGCTTAAACTACATCTGTGCAAGTTTGCATTCTCTTATAGCAACTTCATCCTCAGTGATCTCCATAAAGTGGGGGGAGGATATCACCATATGCCTCCCACACCTGGGAGGCAAAGAGCTGCTCATAAAAGGGCTTCTAGTTCTAGCTGGTTTGGCCCAGCGCACAAATTTGTGCACATTGAATGGAAATTCATTAGAAGAAATATTTTAATACTGCTATTTGCCCTTTCTCTATGACAGAAGTGTCAACCAAATTCATGATTGACAATGACAGATGGAAACACATGAGTGTGGTTGGCGCCAGTGAGAGCTTATATATAGATAAACTTGTTTAATTAGACTTACTTTCTGATTTAACTAAACTTTTTCCAGCTCAGTGAAGCACTCCAACTTCTCTTTCAGGTAATTGTTAGCAACACAGCAGTAAATATCAACATGAAGCAGATTATTATTGTATATCATGCAGGGAAAACAAAGGGTAAAATATTTAACTGCAGCAGTGTTTGACTGTATTCTGTGCAGTGAGAAAACATGAAGTCATTTTCAACGTCCACCATTTCTTCTTTTCAGTTGGGTCAAGTTTCTAAGCTTTCTTCTTTTTTCTTTTTATAATATATATATTTTATTGATTTTTTACAGAGAGGAAGGGAGAGAGATAGAGAGCTAGAAACATCGATGAGAGAGAAACATCGACCAGCTGCCTCTTGCACACCCCCTACCAGGGATGTGCCCACAACCAAGGTACATGCCCTTGACTGGAATCGAACCTGGGACCTTTCAGTTTGCAGACCGATGCTCTACCACTGAGCCAAATCAGTTTCGGCTAAGCTTTCTAAAAATCCATTTTCTAATGAGAAGAAAATAGGATTCCACCAAGTCTCCTATCTACCTACTCCAGGATTTCTGTGAGGATCAACTGAGATGAGGCATGGGAAAACGCTTCACAGATATTTGGTTAAAGTGTGAAATGTTTCCACCTGGCTATAAAGCAAGTTGTGTGCCTGGGCTGAAGAAACTTTAAGGAAGCTAGTTGCTAGGGAGAGGAGGTGGGCATTACTATGTGACATCATTATCCGGCGCCCATGGCAACTGTTTGCAGGCTGGGCTTGGCTGTGGACCGCATTTTGTGCCGTGGGGTCTCTGCCGTGTCAGCTGCGATTTGGCGGGGTGTTGCTCCAGGGTGGTGGTGGGGCCTGTCTCTCACTTGGGGGAAGCCAAGTGTTGCTTTGAGGGCACCAAGTCCACGGTGCTATTTCTCTGTCAATGGCCAGTGCACATCATGACGGCTCCTACGCTGAGTGTCTGTCACCCTGGTGGTCAGTGCACGGCATAGCGACTAGTCAGATGGTCGGACACTTAGCATATTAGCCTTTTATGTATATAGATGGAAGAGAGGTAAAATCTTGGTTCCCAAGTGCCATGTACTAACTCTCATGTCTTTGTTGGATATCAGCAAATTGTTAAATGTGCTGGAAAGGATGGGGGCGGGGGGACATAAGTCACTCTTAGATGTCATTGAACTTGTGGAGTGATGTAAATTAGGGACCACTTCCTTATACCATTGAAAAGTATGCAAATATTCCAAACTTGATATGTAACTGCTATCTGACTATAAGCAAGGAGAGAAAATAGTTAAGAGCCTCTTTGTTTTTGGCTTCTACTTCACTTTTTTCCCTTTGTTTTTTTTGACTAGTGAAGTCACTTGCATGTTAGAAGTCAGTTACGGGCTTACAGATGCAGATTGAGGGTAAATCATTATTTCATTTTAAGTTTCTCTTGTTATTTGTATCTATGTGGTATAATTCTGGCATTCTTTCTTGAGTTTTGCTTTTTTTAATTTGGTGTGTTAATAGCCTTTTTTTGGGTTCTGGCATTTGCAGAACGATTGATCAATCCTCAGCTTACCTTTTAGGAAATAACAGCAGGAGAGGACTCTCTCCTGTGTTACCCTGTCTCACCCCAGCAGACTCTGAACTGCAGGTAGCTGAGCTCACTTGGCTTACAGCATCTATACAGACGCACAGACCCTTTGTTAGTCTGCCTAACCCTAACCTAATCTAAAGGGGAGTTTTTTGGTTTGTTCATTGTTTGAAGATGTGCAAGCATTTCTGAAGCACTTGCACTTGCAGGAGATTTTTCTGAATAATAATCTAGTGTAGCCTGTGCTGTCCTTATTTCATCTACCACCTGCACCCCTCCCACTCCTCCCCCCAAGGTCACTGAGAAGTATACGATAATTCTTTAACCATGTTGTGTAGTGCCTCTTATACCTGAGAATCAGTAAGTAGGTTTTCTTTTCCTACCCTAAATCCCTTTTGTTTCCAGTTAAGCTTACTTGTTTTGTTTTGATCTTACCCTTAGATGGCCCTTATTTGCCATCACTTGTGTAGAGGTCGTTTCTGTTCTTAACAAAATCTCAAGCCTTTGAGTTCTCTCACTGGATCTATATTTTTGTGTAGGCAAGACACCTACTTTCCCCATCAGGCTGTTTCTGCAAACTTGCCTTCATCTTTTGTAGTTTATCCTTATTGTAGCCGTGAGAAGCCACCTAATGCTGTTTCCTTCTGTTTACTCCAGGCCTGTGGCAATCATGATTAAAGAAAGGTAAAAATGTCAAGTCATAGTCCCTCAAAAGTGAAAAAACATTCTGGTTCACTGCCCCCTGCTGGGCTTGTCTGGCTCTGCCTTGCTCAGTTTGTGTGCATTATCTCAAGTCATATGGTTGGGTGAGAAGCTTGTTGGGAAACCTCCATTTTTACCCCAGTTCTGTGACCTACAAGCTAGGTGACCATGAACTAGTATTATACCTTACTTACTGGTATAAAAGTCTGTAATATACCCTATCCCCATACAGAAGGTAGTGTGGGTGAAGTACCTAGCTTGGTGCCTGGCTCATATTAGATATCCGGTTAATGATTATTATTTTTAAAGAGTTAAAATTATCAAAGAATAGAGAGAATACCAGACAGTCAATACTTGACTGACTTTGGAGTATAGAGAAATACCAATCCTGCAATATAAGTAAACCAATAGTCTTTTAAGTCCCCTTATTTTCTTCTCTTCTTTTTCAAAAGGGGAGAGTGCACCGAGACCTTACGGAATCGGATCAGAGAATTGGAGGCAGAGGGCAAGAAGCTCACAATGGACATGAAGGTGAAAGAAGACCAGATCAGAGAACTAGAACTGAAAGTTCAGGTAATGGGAGAACCAGAGGCTTTCTCGTACTTGAATTCCTCTTATACATTGATTGGTGACCTATGATATAATGTGGAGATGGTGCCTTTTGATACAGGCGAATCCCATTACATCCAAAAATCTCTATGACAAGAGGAAGCTCTAATCGTGTCCAGCTCATTGACGTCATATTTAATTTAGTCAGATTCTAATGCAAGTCAGAAATGTTGATGGTCTTTTGACATGTTTTATACCAGAATTTGAATTACTATAGATTCATTTTATTTTTTTTAGGTTATAGGCCAGATTAAGTATCCTTTGGGATTTGTACAGCTCTTATCAGCCCTAACCATGTCCCCAGGGAATTGACCATTCTAGGTTGCTCTGAGCTTTTCCACAATGCAGTTCTGTGCAGAACACTGCGAGGAAAGCTGCCAGTGCTGTGAGCGTAGCCAGTTTTGGGAGCCATGTGTACCATGGCCAAGTATTTGGCATTGGCACTTCAAGGGAACATTTAAAATGAATGTCATATATCATGAAGTTACTGTGATTTGACTCTGGGGGAAGAGGTAAGAAATTACCGGCATGTCAGTGGAGTAAAATAGAAGACCTGGAGACAGTACTGAAAGTGAGCTGTGAAGGTGGCATCAGAAATGGGTGGGAAGGTGAGGAAAAGCAATACAATTAGAGGGCCATTTCCATCCTGCACAAAAAGAAATGCCAGATGAAGAGTTAAGTGCAGAAATAAAAAGACATTTTATTTTAAGCTAGGTGAAAATATAGTAGAATTTCTTTAACCTTGAAATGGGAAGACTTTCTAAACAAAAACCATGGAAAAGGTAAAGGAAGGAGACTAAACTTTGGGTGAGGAGTACATAATGCAATATATAGATGATGTGTTATAATATTGGAACTTACATAATCTTATTAACCAATGTCAGTCACCCCAAAATTAAATAAGTTAAAAATTACATTGCAGTAAAAAATATAATGGAAGAAATCACAAAGCAAAAAAATACAAAATATAAATGAGAATAATCAACTGGGGGAGTATAGATATTGCAACAAATATAAATATGAAATTAATACTCAATATATAAATTATTCATAAAAAGTGCTAATCTCAAATATACAGAAAAATAGGCAAAGGATGCTAACAGTTAATTCACAGCAGAAATAGAAATGGCTGATAAGAACATATTACTATATCCTTATTAATCACAAGACATAGATTAAGATTGAGTATCATTTGTCTCCTGTGAAATTAGCAAAGAATTATTTATTTATTTATTTATTTATTTAAATTTTTTTTATTGATTTTTTTACAGAGAGGAAGGGAGAGGGATAGAGAACTAGAAATATCAAGGAGAGAGAAGCATCCACCAGCTGCCTCCCGCACGCCACCTACTGGGGATGTGCCCGCAACCAAGGTACATGCCCTTGACCGGAATCGAACTTGGGACCTTCCAGTCCAAAGGCTGACGCTCTATCCGCTGAGCAAAACCAGTTCTGGCTAGCAAAGAATATTTAAATGATAATGTCAACCTGAGTGAGCCTACAATGAAACAGGCCTCAGATATTGTTGGAGAGTGTAACTTTCTGGAAAGGTCATCTACTTTTTAAGTATTTCCCTTGTTAGAATTTCCACCTAAGGTAAATACTTTTTAAAATCTTATTGATGATATATATATATACAGAGATGTTCATCATGGTGGTAATATAAATGCAAAAAAAAAAAAAAAAAAGGAAGCAGTCTTAACAATAGGGGATTCATTTAATAAATTATGGTACATATATATGTGGGAGTATTATGCAGCCATTAAGAATTACATTTTCAACTGAAACCGGTTTTGCTCAGCGGTAGAACGTCCGTCTGCGAACTGAAAGGTCCCAGGTTCGATTCTGGTCAAGGTCATGTACATTGGTTTCAGGCACATCCCCGGTAGGGGGTGTGCAAGAGGCAGCTGGTCGATGTTTCTCTCTCATCAATGTTTCCAGCTCTCTATCTCTCTCCCTTCCTCTCTGTAAAATATCAATAAAATATATATTTTTTAAAAATTACATTTTCAAAGAACATTTGAGATTATATGTTTGTTTTAATTCTACAAAACTGAACATATACAATTATCTCACTTATGTTAAAAAATACACATGTGCTTAAAAGACTAAAATAATATGTATTAAATTTTCACAATGTTGGGATTTGGGGTGATTTTCGTTTTCTTCTTTGAACTTGAATATATTTTAAAATTCTCTATAAGAAGTGTGTATATCTGTTTTAAAATGAAGAAATTAAAGTATTTCTACACATATATTTATGGTTACATTACCAAATGTTTTAAGTGGACTTATTCTGCAATGTGCCCTATTAAAATAATTAACATTTTTACAATTGTTAGTGCAAATTGAGAGTAGAATTTTTGGCAAATTTGATTACAGTATTACAGCAACATTTGCAACTGGCAGCCAGAAAAATGTTCTTTTTGGTTCTGAATTAAGCTTGTAAGACAGTGTCTTATTTGGAGACAGAAAAACCCAACATAGTCAAATTTATCTAACCTGTTTTTGTATGTTCACATTACCGTACAAATACATCCTGCCCTCTATGTGCTGAGGCCTAAACCCATAGAATGCTAGCATTCTGTGTTCTCGGGGCCAGGTCAATAATAGCAGGACTTCATTTGTGATTCCAGGCTAATTTGTAGACATCGATGCCAAAATTATCTTGTAACATTGCTGCTTTGATGATACTGACAGGAGCTTCGGAAGTACAAGGAAAATGAGAAGGACACGGAGGTGCTAATGTCAGCGCTCTCAGCCATGCAGGATAAAACGCAGCACCTGGAGAACAGCCTGAGCGCAGAGACGAGGATCAAGCTCGACCTGTTCTCCGCGCTGGGGGACGCCAAGCGGCAGCTCGAGATTGCCCAAGGTAGGAGGGCAGCGGCCCCGGGGCAGGTGGTGCGGCTGAGAAGGCCCAGGGCGCAGAGCATTTCATTTTCTCCTTAATGATTTAAGTGCCGGCATACAGTTTGTGCTGAATTAGAGAACTGCAGTCACTCGGAGGTGCTGGTGCAGCAGTTCTTACAGGGTCTGTGGGAACAGGGAGAGGCAGGGACAAGCCAGTCTGGGGAGTCGGAGGGCTCAGGGAAGCTGATGTCTGAGCTGGGTCTTGAATGATGAGGAGGGGTTAGCGCCGTGAAGAAGCAGTAGAGAGGAGTGAGGATTAGAGAGGCATATAACGGAAGCAGCAGCTTGCGCGCGAGCCCAGGGAAGCTAGGAGGGCCTGGTGTGTTCAGAGCTGCAGCTGGCTGTGCTTGGCTGGAGAGAAGGTTACAGTCGAAGTGGTGAGAGAGTCTGCAGAACTGGCTGTTCACTCAGCAGGTATTTATTGAGACCTACTGTGTGCCAGGCCCTGAGGGAATCCCTGAGGGACCAGACAGTAACAAACAGTTTGGTCTTAGGGACCTCTTTACACTCTTAAAATCATTGAGGACCCCAAAGATGTTTTTATAAAAACTGGATTATCTCTATCAACATTTATCTATTAGAAATGAAAAGTTCAAACATGTATTTCATAATTTATTTTAAAATAACATAAACATATTACTTGTTAACGTAAATAACATTTTTATGAAAAAATAACTATTTTCAAAAATTTTAATGAGAAAAGTGACATTGTTTTACATTTAACAAATCTCCAGTTTCTGGCTTAATAAAAGATAGCTCCATTCCCATCTCTTTCTACATTTAATCTGTTGTAATTGCGCTTGCCATGTTGTTTCTGGAAGACCCTTCCATGTCCATGAGGGAATGAGTGTGAAGAAGGCAAGTCATGCCTTAGTGCTATGGACCCTGAGGGGCCTGTGAGAGGGCAGGCCATGGGGCAAGGCAAGACCTCCTGCCCTCAGATAGAGGCAGAGAGAGGGCTTGACAGGGGAGGAGATATCGGTGGCTTCATGAGGGAGGGGACTCAGCTTTGAAGGATGAATTCTGAGAGCAGAGAATGGCCGGGAAGAATATTGTTACCGGAGGAAATAGTGTAAGTGAAGGAAAGAAAGTGCGGGGAATGTCCAGGTGAGCAGACCAGTGACCCCCAGTTGGGGGACCTGGAAGAAGACAGTTGGAGACCCGGAGGACCACGAATGAAGCCATCCTGGAGCACTTCTCTCCTTGGTGTTCAGGAGGAAGGGGTGAGAGGTTCTGGCTGTTGTTTTGGAAATCCCTTTCCAATAGCCGTGTAAAAGATGGATTTGAAAGACAGTGGAGGCAGGGAGGCCATTTAGGAAGCTCCCACTGTCCTAGCTAAGAGTGGTGAGTGGGGGAACAGGATGTCCGGACGGGAGGGAAGGATAAGGGCGCCAGGACCAAGAACAAAGAACAGGAAGGTGTGAGGAATGGAGAGAGAGAGTTTGGTTTGGGATGTTTCCGTTTGGAGTTGCTTCCTGGACACCCAGGTAAAAGTTCATCAGTCATTGGGAGTTTGGGGCCTAACCTCCAGAAAAGACCAAAACCCCTGTGGGTGTGGGGTGGGATAGAGAAGTTACGAGAAGTTAGTGAAGCGTAAGAGGGGCTTGGAATGGCCCAGGTTGTGAGCAGAAAGAGAAGGGAGTTGAGACTCTGGCTTATTAATCTATAGACTCAGGGAAAGCATTTAAAAAGAAGGGTCCTGGGATCCTGTTATAAAGCTGAACTGATCATACACTGGCTTTTTGCCTGCTGGCCCAGCTCCCTGAGAAGGGGCCACCTCTCTCTGTAGCATCCGTTTACTCCGATTTGCAAACGTGGAAGAGATTTCCCCCTGCAGTGAAGCAGCACCTGGCCTCCGAGTAGCTGAGGGGAGCTTGGCTTGTCAGTCCAGGAAAGAAACAAAGCAGCAGAGAGAAATGTCTTTTTCAAAAGCTCTGGGAATGTTTGCATATTACTGATTAAAGAAATCATATTTAAATTTGTGTAGGAAAAAAAAAAAAGGATCCAGTGGTTCATGTATCAGATGCCATAGGTATTATTCACCTGAATAAAATTGTTAAAAGGGAAGGAGGGCTGGGATGCTTGAAGCTGAGGAGACGTGCAGGAAGACTCAGGGAGCAGGTTCTTTCTATGGCTCTTTGCTGCCGCCTTTCCCACTACTTCCCTACTGTCATGCTCAGAATATCCTAATAAGAACCCAACTTTGTAATTCAAATCTAACCCCTGTGTTGGCTTTTCTCCTTCCTATCTATATCATTGATTCATCCTGGTTTCAAAATGACTTTCATCTCTGCTGCATCCTTTTAAAAACTATGCCACCACGGGCAGCTACATTTTAAATATGTTACCATCTTCCGCAGGACTCGGAATGAGTGCAACTCAAATGCATCATCCTTCCTTTCTAAGCATTTAAGTTTCTGAAGTGCTGCTCCTAACGGTTCTTCGTCTAGCGGACCAGGGAGCTTCAGAGAATGATGGAAATTGCATGGGCTTTGGAACAAAGGGTCCTGGGTTGACATCCTCCTCTACCTGTCAGTAACTGGGCAGGATGCATAACTTGCAGTGCCTCAGCTTTGTACTGGGCTGGCACTAGGGATACCGTCATGAGAGAGAAAAAGTAGTAGTCCTTGCCCTCCTGAAGCTCTTGGCCCAATGGAGAGATGATGAACACAAGCCATCACCTAGGTGAATAGTTACAAGGGAGGTGGAAGAATGTGTAGGCAGGAGTGCAGACTTGAGCCAGATTGCAGAGATTTTAATCCTGGCTCTGTTTGTTACTCAACCTCTATATGCCTGTTTCCTCATCTGTAAAATGGACAATACTGATGATAATTTCTGCCTGATAGGGTTGTTGAGATGGATAAATGAGTTTGTATGTGGAAGTACTTAGAACAGTGTCTGGCACATATGTGTTAGCTAATATAATTATTAGAGGCCCAGTGCACGAATTCATGCACCAGCGGGGTCCCTTGGCTTGACCTGCAAGATTCAGCTGAAACTGACTCGAGGATTCCCTGAGGGCTCCCGGATTGTGAGAGGATGCAGATCAGACCAAGGAACCCCACCAGTGCCTGGGGCTCGGGAGGGATGCAGGAGGTTGGCCAGCGGAAGGGACTGCAGGAGGGCTCCAGGGCGTGTCTGGCTCATCTTGCTCAGTCCCAGTCAAAAGGCTGGACCGCAACAGCAAGCTAAATTACCTGTCAGAGTGTTAGCCCCCCTGGTGGTCAGTGTGTGTCATAGCGACTGGTTGACTGGTCAACTGTCTGCCCTCTGATGGTCAGTGCACATCATAGAGCAGTTGAGCGGCCTTAGCATATTATTAGCATCTTATGCTTTGATTGGTTGAATGGATGACTGGACACTTAACATATTAGGTTTTTATTATATAGGATCATTATTACAAAAAGTAAAGTAACAGAAGGAAAGTTTAGAGTGTGTTGAGAGTCTACAATTGAGGGGATAAGGTCTGATTTAAATGAGAAAATTAGGGAAAGCATTGTAAGGAAGTAGAAATAGAAACCCCAGGAGTTAACATAGAGAGAGCAAGGGAAATAGCGCTGAGGCAGGCATCATTGCTTGGGTGAGAAACTAAGACTAGTGAGAGAGGGTGTCAAAGGTTCAACCCATGGCAAACTGGGCAGCCAGTTTGAGTCACTCCGAGCTCCTGGTGCAGCAGCCACGGAGCCAGAGCTCCATTTACTTTCTGTCTGAAGACTGGGGCAGTTCTGCGGCCTTAGTTGATCTGTATTTCTTGGTCTGATACCCAGAGATAGCCCACCCTCCCAGAGAAACTTTACAGCTCAAGAGGGAGAACCATAGTTTATTATATTTTATTGATTTTTTTACAAAGAGGAAGGGAGAGGGATAGAGTTAGAAACATCGATGAGAGAGAAACATCCATCAGCTGCCTCCTGCACACCCCTGCCGACTGGGGATGTGCCCGCAACCAAGGTACATGCCCTTGACTGGAATCGAACCTGGGACCTTTCAGTCCGTAGGCCGACGCTCTATCCACTGAGCCAAACCGGTTTCGGCAAACCATTCCCTGTTAGGCTGCCATTGGTGACTGCTGTGCTCAAAACGTGGCTCCTGGAAATTAACCTCTTTGCTTAGTCACACCTGCATAGACAGAATCCCTTTTCTCTGTGAAACATGGCCCTCAGGCCAAATCTGGCCTGCTGCCTGTTCTACCATCCATTGGCTGCCAATGGTTTCCGTATTCTCCCATGGTTTAAAAACACACACAAACATGACAAAGACAATATGTGGCTCACACATCTAAAATAGTTACTCTTTGGCCCTTTACAGGAAAGTTTGCCTACCCTTACAAACCCTGACATCAAAGCTGAGTCACACCCACTTCGGGCTGGCCTAGGAGGGCATTGTGTTGGGTTGGGTTGCCCTCCCTTCTCACTGATGGCGGGTCTTTGATTTTCCAGGACAAATTCTTCAGAAAGACCAGGAAATCAAGGACCTAAAACAGAAGATAGCCGAAGTCATGGCCGTCATGCCCAGCATAACGTACAGTGCCGCCACCAGCCCCCTGAGCCCGGTGTCCCCCCACTACTCTTCCAAATTTGTGGAGACCAGCCCCTCGGGACTCGATCCCAACGCCTCTGTTTACCAGCCCATGAAGAAGTGAAGGCCAGCTGTGTTTCACCCAGCAGTTCGGTTACCAGGAGGCATTGCAAAGGAGCATCTCTGGCAGTCAAGATAACAAAAGTTTATATTGTATTTTGTGGGACTGCATATGTTGTCATTTTTAAAAAAGGGGGAAAGAGAACATCCACATCTGATTAGACCTGCCCATCAGTCTTTCTTGTAAATTTTTAGAAGACCTCACAGAACTTTGCAGTTTATTTTTCTCGGCCAATGCATTAAAACCATTCTTGGATTTCAAGTAGCCAATTTTGCCTTTTATGTAATCTTACAGTTTCCTCTTGAAGAAAGAAAAAGGAAAAAAAAAGGGTTTTGCTTCTCAATCCTCTCTTTCTGTTTTGTTTTGTTCTTAAATAAGCAAAACCTGCCCATTGGATCCATGTGGGGTGATATTGCAAACTTTGTTTTTAAGAGTGAAAGAGTTAAATAACCTAACACAGTTTTGATTGTATAGTTGAACTCAAGAAGGCGATTCTTGATATTACAGAAAACAACATTTGATTACCCCTCTAAGGACCAAACAGATTGAAGGTGTGTCGTTTAAGCTGAGGGGAGAGACTCGGGCGATGAGACTAGATGTGTTTGAAATGTTTCTGTTCCCATCAGTGTGTGTAGACCTAGAAAATGGCTAGCAGCTGTCTTGTTCACAGTGCCTTGGGAAAAGACATTTCAAGAGGAAACTCGGTGATGTTAGACTATTTTCCCCCTTTGTCATCATCTATCTTCTTTTTGTATCGAGCTCACTGCGGACCCTGCTGTAAAGCTGGTGGGTAGCTGGGCTGTTCGTCACCACCATGCCAGCACTTTCTTTCCGGTCCCAGAAAGCACCACCGTGCTCCGAGCCAGCCCCTCGGGAAGGGGAGCTGGGTGGTGTCTGTGTACGTGAGGCCGCAATGACAGCTAATAAAGCTGCAGTCCTAGGTTCTTTTGTTTTTGTTCTGTTTTGTTTTCATTTCATTTCACTTAACTGTGCTTTTCACTCTTCATCATCTTCTGTTTGATGATTTAAAACAAACTTGACTATTCCTCAGCTCTTGTGCCAAGGAGGGTTTTTTGTTTTTTTTTCTGTTTGTTTAAAAAATTCGAAACTCAAAACTCTGCACAAAGATTTCAGTTTCAAGTGTATATTATACATTGATAGAAAAGTGTTTGCACTGGCGACTTTTGGAAGTGTTTAAGAATCAGGGTGGGGGAGGGGGGAGGGCCTGGGAGAGGGAGGGGCAAAGCAAAATTGTATTTGGAAACTAGGAAAATTAAGAAACCAAATAGATTGGTTTTGCTTCCTTGCCATGGGTTCTGGAAGGACATAGTTCTTCTGAAACTTCCTGTTAATTGGCATGTACGTCTCATTTAAAGAAAATTAAGTAGGACAAGCAAGTCAGCAAAATAGAAGTATTAAAAAGAATCATCCTTTTAAACACAGATCTTATTTTGGGATTAAAAAAAAAACTTCTAGCTTTAGCCAGGTGTGCATGTTGCTGCCATTTTGCATTTTTGAATCATCTTGTGTAATTGTCACCATGAAAGTGTTACTCAGAATTGTCATAGATTTTTTTCATCTTTGTGCAAAAACATGGAAAATTGTCACTGACTTTGTGTTGAGGTTTCCCCCATTTTGCTGCCTTTTGGGACACTATTTTCGTTAAATACTTGGTCTTGGCTGCATTTTTTTTTTCCTGTGGGGTTCAAAAGAATAAACATTTTCTTACAGATAAACTAGTTTTCTGCCTTTTTACCTTTTTAGGAGGGCACAACAAGTTTGATTGTTCTGAATGAACTTTAGATTATTGCTCTTGTTCTCCCCTCATGTCAGCTCCCTGTCAGGTAGCTTTGTCCAGCAGACACAGGAGTTGGCATCACTTCACGTCTTAAGACATCTCCATTCTCATTCTCTCTCTCTCCCTCTTCCTCCCCAACCCTTCCTCCCTCTCTCCCTCATACTCTCTCTCCTCCTTCTCTCTGTTTTCTTTTTAAACCAGAGGCCCGGTGCACAAATTCATGCAACAGTGGGGTCCCTCTGCCTGGCCTGTGGGATTGAGCTGAAACTGGCTCCACTCTAAAGGTCTAGCCCCGTGGTCGGCAATCTGCGGCTCTTGAGCCACATGCGGCTCTTTGGCCCCTTGAGTGTGGCTCTTCCACAAAATATCACAACCTGGGCAAGTCTATTTTGAAGAAGTGGCGTTAGAAGAAGTTTGTTTATTTATTTAAAAAATATATTTCTTGCCCTAACTAGTTTGCCTCAGTGGATAGAGCATTGGCCTGTGGACTGAAGGGTCCCAAGTTCGATTCTGGTCAAGGGCATAGACCTTGGTTGCGGGCACATACCCAGTGGAAGGTGTGTAAGAGGCAGCTGATTGATGTTTTTCTCTCTCATCGATGTTTCTATCTTTCTCCTTCTCCCTTCCTCTCTGTAAAAAATCAATAAAATATGTTTAATATATATATATATATATATATATATATATTTTTTTTTTTTTTAATTAATTTCAGAGAGGAAGGGAGGAGAGAGAGATAGACATCAATGATGAGAGAGAATCATTGATCGGCTACCTCCTGCACACCCCCTGCTGGGGATCGAGCACGCAACCCAGGCATGTGCCCTTTGTTGGAATCGAACCTAGGACCCCTCAGTTCGCAGGTTAACGCTCTATCCACTGAACCAAGCCATCTAGGGCAAGAAGTTTAGGTTTAAAAAATTTGGCTCTCAAAAGAAATTTCAATCGTTGTACTGTTGATATTTGGCTCTGTTTAATGAGTTTGCCAATCATAGGTCTAGTCTGTTGCAGGCCAGCAAGCCCTCTACACAGAGATGAGTGTCTGCTTCCAGCTTTGCCATCGCCTGCTCTGTGACCTCTCTTAACCTCCCTAGGCAGGTGCTGTTTCCTTACCTTCAACAAGTAGTATTCCTGCTGGAAGGAGTTACTATGCAAACGGGGTGAAATGCAAAAGTGCTCTGCAAATTACCCAGAGCCTCCCCGGTGGAAGCCCAGAACTGTGGCCTCAGAGTCAAGGTGAGGCAGGGACCTGGTGAATTCCTGCTCCTGGGTCAGCTCCACCCCCACCGCCTGACTCCTCAGTGGAGCTCCTCAAAAGTGTGTGATCTGCAGGTTCACTCTGGGCATCAGCACCTCTGGGACCCCTTTCCCAGACACCCAGCCCAATCTGAATCTATGTTTCAACAAGATCTCCTGGTGACGTGGTTGCCTATTAAATGTTTGGAAGCCCTTGTGCGAGCTGCTTTCCTAACTGGGAAATAGGCCTCTGGATTCCATCTCCGGCATAGTCAACTTTTTTTTTTTTTAATATATTTTATTGATTTTTTTTTTTGCCCCCCTCCCTCCCTCCCATACATACTATGCTGCCATAAAAAAGAAGGAATTCTCATCATTTGCAGCAATCTGGATGGAATTGGAGAACATCATGCTGACTGAAATAAGCCAATCAATGAAAGAGAAACACCACATGACCTCACTCATTTGTGGATGATAAAGAACATTATAAACTGATGAACCTAGAGACAGATATAGAGACAGTAAAGCAACAAGCAGACTGTCAAATTACAGTGGGGAGGGGAGGAAGATCTGGGGGAGATAATAGATCAACCGAAGGACTTGTGTACATAGTCAACTTTTAACGGCAACGGTACTGAATACCCCAGGGCAAACTGAACATAGGGAGGAGGGAAGAGGATATAAGAACAAAGAACTGGATGTGAGCCAGTATCACGGTGGAAACCCCCCAGATGCCTACCTCAACTAAAACAGGCCTCAGTCCACCTTTTTTTAATGGCCTAATGGGAGGCATATGAGGAAACAGATGACCTTATAGTGCTCAGCCAATGAGAACCTGGAGGAGGGGCTGAATAAAAAGGCTGCGTTTGCTACCCCTGGTGTGCCTGTGCAACCGGATGGACACCCGTTCTCGAGAGCTTACTAAAAGTCCCGTTATCGCCATACTTCTGTCTCCAAGTCCGTTCTTTGAATTCGGACAGGTTCAGAGAAAGCCACCCCTTGGGCTCTGAAAATTCAGAATTTAGAGCTTCATTGAGGAGGGGCACCTGGAGTGAAGACCTCCTTAGGGTTTACACACGTTTGTTTCTCTTTCCTCCCCATGAGAATGCAGGCTCTAGGAGGGCAGAGACGTCCTGCTTTTTTACTGTTGTAACCCCAGAAGCTAATAGAACAATGACAGCTCCACAGGAGGGATTCAATAAATATTATGGAACGAATAAGGCTAATGACTAGGTTAGACGTGTCATCGGAAATAACGTGTCTTCACTGAATCAGAGCATCTCTGTCATCGTGCCAGTGAAAAATAGAAGGAGAGGGGGGCATATTTATTGGGACGTCTTTCACCTGCCTGTCTCCGGTTTCTGCTGAAGCCCTGTTTTCCTTATCACATGTTCTCCACCAACGCCTGCTCCACGTAGCCAGGTGCAGAGATTCCCCGACAGCTATTATCGTAGATTTCCGAAAGTAATTACTTCTCTCTCAAGCGACCTGCGGGGGGCCTATCCATTCTTCTCCGAGTTGGAGCCTCAGACCAGATTGGCCCACGGGCTGGCCCGGCTGCATCTGGAGCCCCCGTGGGGCGTTTTTTCGTTGGATAGTAATTGAATTAGCATTTCCTCCAGGAGGGCGTCTGGCGAAGGGGGTGTCTCCAGGATCTCCTTCCATCTGCCCAAGGGGCCGCACCTCTTCCTGGCCTCCCTCCTTCGTTGGGCTTACGTGGTCCCTGCTTTATTCCTATCTCCGTGGTGGTTTTACATTCCTTTGCCCGAGGTTCAAGTCTTACGCCCTCTCTGGATGGGCTTGCTAGGGTTCTGGAATCACCCTGTTATTTTATTTTATTTTTAATTGATTTTTCACAGAGAGGAAGGGAGAGGGATAGAGAGTCAGAAACATCAGTGAGAGAGAAACATCAATCAGCTGCTTCCTGCACGCCCCCTACCGGGGATGTGCCCGCAACCAAGGTACGTGCCCT